TCCTAAAAGAGAATAACTTTTACCAAAGTAATTTTTTGGTAAGATACTTGCACTTTTACTCAAGTATCACTTTGTGGTACTTTATACAACACTGGTTTTAGTTTTATTTCCTGGTTCAAGTGGTATTCGATACAGCGCTGCATGCAGAAAGCAAATTATGAAAGTGGGTACATGTAAGATGAGAATCAGAGTTCATTAACCCTTCATTGCTTCCTCTGYCATCCATGCTTCTTTTATTTTCTACATTCTCATCCCTTCTTTTTTCATTTTGAGTTTTTCATTTATAATGTGAACCCCCCACACCCTGCTTATCTCTGTTTAATGAAAGGAAAGACAGGTTTAAAGATGCACAAAAGCCATCTATGACTASCAGAGTGATGCTCGTCGTAAGACCATCGTCAGGAATATATACAACATCAAAAGTCAGGCCAAAGATGTCCTCTATGTGTCAGCTAAGGGCAAAGCATCTCCAAAGGGCCTAATATGTAATGGGTTTCACAGGACACAATTTGTTTGATATAAAATGATCCTCAGCAGACACAAAGTGGCCCCCATTAGGAGCCAAGCAGATTAGTGCAGTCCTCTGAGGGTCTGTGGCTCAGTGTCAGTCGTGGAGGACGCTTCTTATCTTTCATTAAGCGCACACAGCAGGGCGGATTCCCCCGCTCGRGAGGGGAGGGGTTGGATGGGAAGGCTTCTAAAAGGATAGGATAAAGGAAGGGGAGGCAGAGATTGGCGGCGTTTAAAAAATCATTTCCACATATCATAACCCCATCTCTAATTCAATGCTGGAAGCGAAGGAGCTGAGGAGAATGCACAGCATCCTTCTCTCCAAATGCCAAAATTGACCAGCAGGCACAGAGGAAATGAGGCTGAACACAAATGGACACACACACACACACACTGAATGCTCACAAACTCATGAACACAGGCAGACTGGATAAATGCACATACGGCAGAAGAAAGACACGCATGTGCATGTACCAGCAACAAACATTCGCACATGCCAAGTCTTGAACGCAGACAAACACAAACCATAAAACTGAAACCTCCTCGGAGACACACTGGGGAATCCCACTCGCTGCACTCATWCATCCACACACCACAGAGATGGCAGAACGCCATGTGGGTTCATGCCTAATCTGTGTTTGTTAATGGTCGGCATGTGCTAATTACTGTCACCATGCACCAGGGGCCTTCGCTGGCCAATCACCAAGTAGACTAGCCTCTGACCGGCCAATCGCTAGTCGCTCTAGCCTCTGAACCAAAAGGGCTTCTGGGAGAACGGGACGTTTAGCTCCAGTGAAATTGGCCTTGGAACAGTTGTCTAATGTTGGACCATTATGAGTGTGTGTGTAAGAGAGACGCAGGAGAACGATGGGGATGGAAAGAAAGACACGGCGAATGCACGAGTGTGAGTGCTTCCATGTGTCAGCATGTGTGCGTGCACATGTGGCACTATGAGTATGTGAGGTTATCCAGCTATATGTGTGTGAGCAGCAGACGACTGAGTGGAAAGGAAAACAAGGCCAGAATGTGAGCCAATTCAACCACTCCACAGGCTCAAAGGCAGCAGTAATCCAGTGTTGACATGGTAATAGCCATGAGCTTAGTGTCAATTAGATARAAACAATATGCTTACACGACTGGAGTAAGTGGATGGAACCTTTTAAGTAGAGAACGCCTAGAAACACCAGGTTAAATATGAAATTAAAAAATGCCATAAGTTGGAAACCTTCCAAGCCAATRTACACCTTACTTAATCATGTTTTAAAACTGTCTGAAACATACATGTCTGGAAGGGTCTAACTACCATTTTGAGCTATCATGATGCTTTACACACAGAGGCTTGATGGCCTTATTGTACCTCTGTCACTCAGCATGTGTTTCTGGGCAATACAATCTCAAATCATACAGACTGCCCCATCATTTAGCACTGGTGAAAACAGAAACATACAACTTTTTTTTACATTCCTGGAATGGCCTCAAATCTAAATGAGAGCAATATGTCCTAATAATAATAATAATAATAATAATAACTAGAACTGCAAAGCAGTTATGACCGGGGTCCAAGCCCTTTTATGCATGTCAG